TATATTCAGAGAATCTAAGTGCGTTGCTTGAAAATATCAAATTTACATATTTATTAATGCTTGCTTGGTAGTCATGAAATTATATAGATATTATCATTTAGAGACAAGAATGTTAAGATGGATGCGTGGGCTATTAAAAAAAAAGAAAAAGATATATTTGCATGAATGGACAATTATTGGGAGAGGTCTAAAATATCTAAAATTCCAAAGGAGTCACCGGTTAAATAATGTCTGATATTACCCTGGACAGACTTCAGTCAATGGAGAAGATCGACACAAGTGACTCAAATAGTCAGGATTCTGCATATATTGCAAATTAAAGTTCCAAGAGAAAAACTAATTTTGAGAAAAGCAAATATTCATTCATTTCCACACTCCTCTGCGCCACTCAAAGAAAAACCCATACTAATGTCCTACCCTACAAATCTTGTTTTACAAGGATCAAATATAACAGGTCCTAATATTTCATCAATAATGAACTAATAAAAGATTAGGTAATAAGAGCTTGTGTAAGAAATTAGACAGATCTGAGCTACAACATTTTGATCCTTTTTAGCCATTGTCATGTTCAAACAAGTTCGCATAAAATTACAACTTGTAATTGAACTCTTTATTATATGATGATTTATACAATCATACAGTTACAACTAGTAAAACATATAATATTATTTCACTTCATGAAAGTAAGCCAATCATACTTATTTTATCAAAGCAGAAAGAATGGATTGGATGATTTAAAAGCAATAATCCACATTATATCATCTAGAAGATATACCTCAGCATTGCACAAAGTACAAAATAAAGCATCTTCGCCGCCAGCTTGTTGGTCAGTTTCTTCAAGTTTCCGGCAATCTTCTTTAATAAATAATGCACACATAAATCCTCCAAAGCTGCAGCAAGATGAACTTTGCTTTCCTACACTTATTGAGATATTTGTATTCACATCTCCGACAGCTGAAGATTTTCTATTAGTAGAACCATCTAAAGAACTTCTGGAAGCTGATGCTGGAGAAGAATGTGCTTCAGTTGCATTATTATCAACTTCACAAGATAAAGGCCCACCTGGCAATCCAGTTTGATCACTTTGTTGAATTTTGGAATTGTTATCAAACTTTGACATGATTCCTGGATCAGCAGGGTTAATGCGTGTACAACGCACATAAAGTATAAAAACTGCAACTGCCTGAAACAAAGTGATAAGAGATGAAGAATCCACATGACCATAGTCAGAATTGACATTTATACAAGATAAACACATGTTGTGTTAGTGTTATCATGGGATAAGAAGAGCTCACTCACCACAGGGGTATAAATGGCAATTGCAACATATTCAAAGATGTGTTTACCAAGAAACGGTGCAAAGAAGGCATAGAATGCAACAACCAGGAGGAAGAACACTGTTATAGCAACAACCTGCAAAAGAAGGTAGAAGAAAAAACCATTGCTAGTTGCACAAATGAGTAAAAACTAAAACTGCTAGTTAATGCTAGTTATTTAGGCTAATTTCAATTAGACTAAAGTGATATAGAAAAAACTGGGAATACATAAATGCATTATGACAAAAGGTGTTATAACAACTCCCCTAGAATGATACGATCTCACTTGAAGTTATAACTCCATCATGAGAATAGCAATAAGATATATTCACAAAACACTCCATGATAAATGTTCTTTTGGGAGTTTTCCTACCTGATATTACAAAATAGGAATATATTGATGGGCCCACTGAAGAATGTTTAACATTTTCATTCTGGACCGATGACTGTTTAAGGCATACATTTATAAACAACAAGGAAGAGAAATACATAGGTTGACCCTCCCTAGACTCTCATTGGCAGGAGCCTGATTCATTTAATTTGTCACTATTTAAGCCAAAGAAATGCATTTACCCACAAAGAACTTATCAGGCTAGAAATTGTAGGTTTATATGGATTTGGAAGGTCCTAGCTCACGAGTGCACTCAAATACTCTAATAACATGGAACCATATACCATGTGCAATATTTCCTTTCTGCCAAGGCACTATCTCCCAACTATAAGTGAGACATTTGCGTGGACAAACAATAAATTCTGTTCCATATCATGGTTGATTTTCGTTATGCAAGGTCTATGTGTGATCTAGGGACTTAGTAATCTACAATGTAACCAGAGCTCTTTTAAAGCATTCTTACTGGTCCACTTGAAAGTTTTCGTTAATTTAACATGTTAGTAAAGATGAAGTTACGAGCTTGCCTGATGACATCAAGTAATCAATTGATGTAGTTAGTTTCTCAATTTCCAATAAGAACATTGATGAACTATTAAACGAAACTAATGCCAAGCTTCCACAAGAAAAAAAAAATTAAACAATGGCATCTCAGCAATGAAACGGCCCAATTTCAAACAAAGACAAAGTAAAGCTCAGACATGAATTCAGTATAGATTTGCTACAAAAATCAAAGTGAGCAGACATCGCACGCTCCCCGGTTTCATAAGCTGGGGAGAAAGAATCATCCAAGACACCAACTTGGACTGTGTAAGAGCACGATCGATGTGTAAGGAGAAGAAGAAAGAAAACCTAGAAATAACATCAATGCACCTTGAACCAAGAAGGCTTTTTGAAACAATTAAACCCTTCGGAAGCCACATCTTCCGAGAAATCCAAAGGGCAAAACCAAAAGGGAAAGAAGGAATTGTCGGAGCAGGGGAGGAGGTACCTGGAAGGTGTGAGCAGGAAGCTGCCATCCATGGCGCCTTACCATGGTTGCAGAGAACAAGTGCTCCTCAGGCACAAACCTCCTCCGATCACGCGGACATAGAAGGAGAAAACCCACGGGCCAAAGGAACGAACGGATTGCCCCCCCTTTTGAAGGAAGTGGAAGTGGATCGGGTGGCAAGGAGACAGACGAAAAGAAAAGACAAGGAACCTCCTCCTGAAGACTCAGTGGGGGCAAAAGAAAAGGGTTTGGTCCTCGAAGCTGAAACCTTTGGAGCCTTCCTCCTCGGGACTCACATGGGGTGGGGGCAAAGGAATAGGGTTTGGGCCTCAAAGCTGAAATCTTTGGCGCATAAACTGTACATGGATGCTGGGAAAAAAGTGAAAGACGCGATCTTTTTCCTCGGAATGCAATTTCTTCCCTTCCCAGCAAGTCAATATCTGCTCAAATTAGCACCCTCTGTTTCTGGATGAGCTACGGAAGCTAAAGGCGAAAGACTTGTCATCCAGTGTTCTCCAAGAAGACAAGAGAAAGAGAGCAGAGCAAGATTTGCCTGTGAAACATGGCAGAGATCGGCAATCCAAATGAAAACAACACCTCAATATTTGCCGACCGCAAGCCGCCGAAACGCCTCGTGTTGCCATTCGGCGTCCGACCACCAGTGGCAGGTCATGTGAAGCAAATATATTCTGTGTGGTCATATACAAGTCATTCTTCACCTCTCTGTCTTTATATAATCTAATTTTCTAGTTTATACTATTCTGTTAAGACAAATTAAGATTATTATTTCAGCTGACAGAGAATTGCAGACTGTGTGTTTTCTTTGACATGGAGTTTGGAACATATTAGGCTACCAAATTCTTCTAACCAAATCCACCAAGCATGGAATCTACCAACCAACATCCAATAAATTAAAGAACTACTTCATCACCTAATACTTATGGCTCATCTTGGAGATGTGGATCTGCAAACAAGCATATTGAAACAGTGCCATGGAGATCAAGAAGTTTACAGTAATCTTGGTTGCACCAATGACGATGCTTCTTTTCTTGAGGTAAATTTATCTCAAAGCAGAGTAATGGTGACTTGTTTCTCATTCCCTTTGTTCTTCCAGGATCTTCACTTGCAAGGGAAATCTTGGAGCAGCTTTGTTAGGTAGCATAAGAGACAACAGGAGATCTTTACGTCAGTGAGCTGCTATCTTAGATTCTGTCGCAAGATTCTGTCCTGCTAGTAGAGCAGCATTTGGCACCAAATCAAGTCTTTGGTGTTTGTCCTCAGGCTGGAAGCTGCTGTAAGTTCCAAAGCTAACACCAAGTCACATAACTTTGGTAGATATCTAAGAAAAGGGCATAAATAACAGAGAACTTAACATGAACTCTATGAACAAAATTTGAACTTTAACGTTAACGAGGAGGAAGAAGAAGAGATCTCTGGTAGTAAACATATCTATGTCCCTGCCAAAGATTTTGCCAATGAAGCTCAAGCAGCATTGTCGGCCTCGAGCATATGTTATTGTAGAAGTGGAGTTCGAATTCTTTCATGAGTTAAGTGAAGGAAGAGACCAAGAGTGGCTTAAGATAATTGTACCACTTTTATGCCGAGACCCTCAGCGTTGTTGGGACCGCTCAACACATTAGAGCGTCTGATATATTGTATAAAGACATCTGAGCTCGAAAAGCGATTGTATGCTCCGCTGGGTCAAAGTTGTCGTTGAAGGTTTCCAATGATGGGAGACAAAAGTTTACAGACATCAGCTCCTCCTAGAGGCTTTGGACGAAAAGGGAGCGGCCTGAGGTGGGGTCATCTGCATCTTCCCTTCTGGATTATTAGAACTCTCGATGCATCTTGTCCATGTGTTGGTCCATCTATCATAGTTAGGCTCTCAAGGAGTCGTTCATTGAATCTATCAATTAGGTCTTCGATTCAAGTAATGTTGGGCCCTAGTGCAATGGCACACTGAACTCCACTATTGGGAAGGAGGATGCTCTTGTCAGTAGTTCAGTTGGTCGAGTGCAGTCCTGGGTTGCCAGTACTAGATCAATCGGGGAAACCCTGGTGGGCGCTAGTGCTAATAGTGGTTGAGACACCGATCGTGGTTGTAATTGCACCATAGTCTATTGAGCTAGCTGAGGCAGAAGTTGGGCGATAGCCTACATCATCCCCATGAGCATTTGCATTTGGTGAGTGAGGTTCAATAATATATCGATGAGGACAACTAGGTACCTTGCATTCATCCCTAGAGGTGAGAGTTTGGGGTTGTTGAATAGGTGCCAGTAATGCCCCAGTGTTTGAGTGGAGGTGGATGCATTCACCAGAGGAACGGTGGGCAATTGCTCGCCTTGTGTGAAAGTAATATGGATTGGGATAAGGCCTCATCGCTGGAGTACTCGTTAAGAGAGTTCATGGGTAGATATTTTTGCAACATTCAGGGCCCTCCTTCTAACGCCAAAATGTTGTAGGGAGAGTACCGTCGATTGTGAGTCAACACGACTTGGTTTTGACTCAAAGGTGTAGGGTCATCCGATTAATCCTCGTACTCATATGATGAAGCGGTTGATGGGGCACCAAGGCATCGAGGTGGTCGTCGGGTAGAATATGAATGTCCAAGGTGGTCTTGAGGGAAGGTTGAGGTGGAGTTCGACTCCTCGATGGGTTTCTGAATAAAGGTTAGTGTTAGGAAGAGTTTCCTGAATTGACCCTCCAATGCTCAAGTTAGCTTTAGAGTGGTATATAGTGTATGAGACTATTTGCAGAGATATTCGACTCTTGGATCAGCTTTTATATCTGACTGGTCGAGAGATTTATTTGTAACAACTATAATGCCCTCTCATTTGTCCATGGAGGCCAACCAAGGTGGGGTCGGGGCAGGCCCGAACAATCTCTCGTGGACAGTTGTCCACGGAGGCCAACTGGGCTAGTCCGAATGGTCTCTTGTTGACTATTATCCATGGGGGCTAATAAGCCATAACTATCTCCATGTCACCGCCTCAGGTGACTCAACCTTCAACTTCCTTGTCAGCATATCTATCATTATAAAAAGATATATATTTGTGTCCCAGTCGACTTTGTCAAAACTCTCATAGCTTAGCTTGCTGGTGTTGTCTACCTAAACAAAACATATGTATTTGTTTAGGTAGACAACACCATTTCTGAGCAAGTTTAGACAGGATGAGGAACCCAAATTTCTGAGCAAGTGCAAGAATTCTCAATATTGAAAAGAAGAGGAGGAGGATTACTACCTGAAGCAAATAGGAAGAAGAACGGCAAAGTGATGGCCACACCCCTTGTGTCCATTCTTGAAGACCACCTTCTACCTGCAAGAAATTCTTAGTGTGCTCACTAGATTTCTGGTATTGTCACCAGGAGTTAGGGTGTTGTTTTAGTTGTTTTCTTGTCATGGGAAAACGCATTGCTTACATAGCAACGTTTTGGACTTGCTTGATTGTGTCGGCGCACTAGATGTTTTGCAGCTTGAGCAGATACATCATATGCAAAACAAGGGTCATTTTGGACACATTATCTACAAATAAAATACTTTAGGATTGATATAATAGTGGAGGAGGCATGGCTGACACCTTAACATCATATGTGATCGATACTTTAGCATTATGTGGATTAACACCTTAACATCGCATCATCGATACCTTAGCACCACGTATCTCAACATGAGACACCTCATCACCGTATGACCAACACATAGTCAGCATGAGATTGACAATTGGATGATAATGAAAAGATTGGGTTTTAGATGAACTTGCAATCCCTTGTGATCAACATTGATCACAAGAATACCAGTCCATAGAGCCCACTATAAAAGAGCTCTCCAAGTGTGTTCCCTATATACATTTAAACATCGCTTTTAAGCTTGGTTCGAATCCTTCCAAACCCTTGAAATGAGACAAATGAGGAGGAAGGTCTCGGTTAGCTCCGAATCGACATCCCTCGATGATGATGCAACCTCGGCTCAAAAGCATCTCTTGATAGTTGTGCAAGTTGAATTGACCTAGAAGCGTCTCTTAGTAACAACGTAGGCTAAATTGGCTTAGAAGCGTTTCTCGACAATGATGTGGTCGAATCGGTCCAAAGCGCTCAATTCGATGATAGCATAATCAAAATGACCCAAAGCATTTTGTCCAACGATAGTGCAATCAAAACAACATAAAACATTCTCATCAATGATAACATAGTTGAAATGACTTGTAGTGCTCCATTTGAGGATGCTGAACAAAATGGTCTAAAGTGCTTAATTCGATGACAATGCAGCCAAAAGAACCCAAAAGTACTTCCTTTAACGATAGCATAACTAAAACAACCCAAAGTGCTCACTTCGATAACAATGTAATGAAAATATTCCAAAGTGCTATATTTAACGATAGCACAATCGAAATGGCTCAAAATGTTCCCTATGACGATAGTGCAATATATACAACCTAAAGCGCTCCTTTTGGTGATAAGATCATAAACCCTTTTTTTTAGTTTGGTAGTTAAGTAGGAGTTATATCCTTGACTCCACTGCACTTATCGAGGCATGCTATGGGAATAATGATATAAGGACGATCGATACCTCAATGTCATCTTAGCACCATATGGCTAACACTTAACACCACATGATGGGCACTTCACAACCACGTGGTTGAAACCTCATCACCACATGGCCAACATATCACAACTACATGGCATATATCTCAACATTGCATGACTAACACATTATAACCACGTATTCAACACCTCACAGCTATGTGGTCGACATCTTACCGCTACATGACCGACAACTTGACATTAGATGGGTGATGAGGTGATTGACTCGACCTTGCGAAAATTGATACACATAATTTGATACAACCATGTTCGCTGGTTTCAGCGCTTCATGATCGCATGTGGTTGGAGAAAATGCATAATCATTCCAATTATTAATTATGACCTCAAGCTAATGGTCAAATACCATATTATAAAATGCTCCCAAGTATGTTCTAAGGGGGCTCTCCCCTCTATGTTGAATTACACTTTTCTTATTTGACATTTGACTAAATTCTTTGAACCTCTTACTGATTTAAGTATCATAAGAGCTTTGTTGGGTATACCTTTAACGTAGTTTTTTTTTTTTTTAGGATCCCTTATCGAACCCACTCATTGCCCGATATCAAATTTTTGATAGACTTGGACATCAACAAAGGTTGCCTCCAAAATTCTCCCCATGTATTGGACAACCAAATTACATTTTCATACCTTCCAAGTTGTGATTTTGGAGAATAATAATTTAATATCTTCTCACATATCCAATTTTGTATGAAAAATAAACTTAATTTAGTAACTTTTCTTTTATTTGAAAACACGAATTAGTAAAAACAAATCTGCACTGAAAATTTCTCAATAGTCAAACCTCTTAATTTGCTTCAAAACATAGAAATTATCAATTATTTTGTATTGGATACGAAGAATAATATTCTTAGTAATAAGATTCTTTAATCTTAAACTTGATCAATTATTGAATATATATATATATATATATATATATATATATATATGTATATATATGTTTGAATGTTCATGGTTTTGATAGATCTGTTGTTGTTTACTTGAACAAAACATACCCTAAGTCCTCGTTTCAATACCAAGAAGATAGTGAGCACACTAAAGATTGCTTGTAGGTTGAATGTGATGGTGGTTTTCAAGATTGGACAGAAGGGATGCAGCCATCACTTTGATCTTCCTATTTTGTTTACTGTATAAAAATTATTATTATTTTCCTATACATGAGTTTCATAATGAATTGGTATGCTTTCATTTCATGTTAAATTATTGATATTTGTATATATTTTATGAATATTAGATATTATTTTTATATTTTTTAAAAATTACTATCAACATGTGTGGTTGTTGATGCTTCTTTATAATATATTTATTTTTAGAGTAGTTTACTACTTTCTAATATGTCTAAGGTTTGGATAGAGGAGACTTTTCAGAAACACTATAAAAAAGGCATGATTTTTTTAGTTAAAAAAAAGTTACTATTATAAAGATAGAGATTTGAATTCAAAGATAAAAAAGAGAGTGGCTTCTATAAATTATGAATAATGAAATAATAGTTTATTTTTTTATAAATCTAGGATGTGATAAGATCGATTTGGTCTATACCACTATTGGGAGATGCTTTTGAATCGAGAAGGTCGCATCGTGGTTGAGGGACGCTTTATGGCTAAATTTAGTTGCAATGTGCTTCTTGATCAAGTTTAGTTACTTTGTCATCAAGGAATGATTTATGACCAAGTTCAATCACGTTATTATATAAGGATGCTTCTTTATTGATTCGATCATGTTATTGTAGAGGGTTGATTTTGGCTGGGTTTGGTCACCTAGTTATTAAGAATTATCTTTTCAAGTAGTTCAATCAGGTTAATGTTAGGAGTCACCTCTTCAAAAAGTTTAGTCATGTTGGTGTTGGGAGCTACTTCTTTTGGTCATGTTGGTGTTATAAGCGATCTCTTTAAGCAGTTTAACTATGTTGGGATAAGGAACCACCTCTTTCGAGGCTCGAATAGTACGGTGTGGAGAGTCACTTTTTTAGGTGGTTCGACCATATTAATATAAGGAACCACTTCTTTGGGGAATCTATCATTATAGTGAAGGGAGCTACCTCATTTATGTTGGTGTTGCTCAATTATGTCTAACTACCATTTTATCCTATTAGAGGGTGGTATAATGCAACTACAGTCCTCAATTATGTTACTTGTTATAGAATTTGATCATTCGATAAATGAAGAAATTTCGGAGCCACAAATCTGAATTTGTCACAAACTAGACATAGTGAATTTGGAAAGAGATCCTATAAAAAAGAATTATGTTGGAGGCATACTCGATAAGGCCCCTCCGTGCTTAACACAATAAAGAGTTCTAAATTCACTACAAGAGATCCCCCTAAAGAACCTCCTCCGGGCCTTTTTGTAGTGTGGTATTTGGCTACTGGGTTGATGTCATGGTTAGTAATCAAAATGGTTTTACGCTTCTTCCAGCCACATATGTGATTGTATAGTGCCGAATCCGAGTAGGAAACAAAGAGTCGCTGCTGGTGTGTGATAATGTCGCAGCTGTGTAAAGTAGAGAACAACAAGCAGTGGCTCTCACCCATGGCGTCCATGCTGCATGCAGGGCATTGTGGTATTCGTCGATATTGAGACAGGTTGACTTCGATGCGGAAGTTGATGTTGAACTGTGTTCGGGTGTCATTATGGAGTGCCATGTGTTAATCTGTGCCCGTGCGAACAGTGACTTGCAGGGTTGAGCCTAAAGGCTTAAATGGGATCAATGCATCTCTTTTGCACACACCGAGAGGCTTAAGAGCAATGTTCAAATATGTTTATAGGAAACACACCTAGCGTGCCTTTTATAGTGGGCTCTATGAATCATTTTTCTTATGATTGATGTTGATCATGAGGGGATTGTGCATTTATCTTGGACCTAATCATTCTCATCCCGTCGCTGGATGTAATGAAACCTTGAAGATTGACTTGATCTTATCATTGTCATCTAATTGTTGGTCTTGTGTCGATCGCGTGTCAGTCATGTGGTGCTGAGGTGTTTCTCCACATCATGAATGGTCGTTGCGCACCCGTAACATCTTTGTTAATGAACCGTTCGTCACTTTTGTGCACTTGTATAGTTGTTTGACAGTATGTTTTGTATTAGTTTTGTATATTTTTACTTGAAAATTATGAGCAAGAATAGATTGAAATATTACAAAGCGATTGCTCACCATGATGAGTAAAACTTCCACAAAATAGATTCGTTTTTGTGTGTCACAACTTGTTTTTTTCAAGCTATGGTGCGATGCAAAATATCAACTATATTAGTATCCTGGAACCCCTTAGGTGGCACCTGGTTAGATAAAGATTTGTTGTTGTGTTGGGCGTCAAATAGATTTCACAAGTTCGCATGTTAAGTCTATGAGAACTTGCCATCGTGCTCGACATCCTATGGAAAATCATTTAAGGACTTGTAATTGCTCGGTTGCCTTCTAAAGTCCTTGGTTTCACCATTCTCTCTTGCATATCGAGTGTTTGATGAATTACTTGTAAAGTTGCCGTCTTCGTAAGATGTTAGGACTTGTTCGTCGTTCTATTTCGAACTAATCAATTTGCTCTTTTATAGGTTCTATGAGACCTGAGCAAGGTTGTAGCTAGGCTTATCATTTGCAGATAGATAATGCAATAAAGCTTCATAACTTAAATAATCCTAGTTAAGTCTATGACATTGACGTAAGGGTGCTTCATGGCTTAGACAACTTCAGTTAAGTTCATAATATTAGCGTAATTATGCCTCATGACTTAAATAGTTCTAATTAAGTCGGTGATATTGTCGTTTCAAAAAAGTTGATGATAACGTGGTGTTGAGATATCAATCACATGATATTGAGGTATCAGCCATGCGATGCTAAAGTATCAATCCTCATAGCATTAATGTGTCGACTCCACAATGTTGAAGTGTCAACCATGCCTCCACTCGTATATCAATTCTTAAGTATCTCTTTGCGTCTAAAATCGAAAAACATTGGAAGTGTCTGATGCGACCAAGCAAATCCAAAATGTCCCCTTTTACATATGAATGATGTGCCCGCAGAAGATGCAAAACATAAAGCATCGACATGTGGAATCCTTGGTATATGTTACGTGAGCTGGTTATAATAGCATTAATCCTTGCCAGATACCCTTAATCTTCCATTTATGCTCCTACGTGCATGAACACTGTAACTCCATGGTGGCATCAGATATATCTTTCACTTGGATACCTTGTATCTTATCTACTACTAACCATCTTTGCATTCATGAGATTTTCTACTGCTACATATGGTCGATCGATGCAAATTATAAATAACAACATACCCTAACTCCTGGTGACAGTACCAGAAATCTAGTGAGCACACTAAGGATTTCTTGCAGGTAGAAGGTGGTCTTCAAGTATGGACACAAGGGGTGTGGCCATCACTTTGGTGTTGCTGTTCTTCTTCCTATTTGCTTCAGGCAGTAATCCTCCTCCTCCTCTTCTTTTCAATATCGAGAGTTCTTGCACTTGCTCAGAAATTAGGGTTCCTCATCCTGTCTAAACTTTAGTATCAGAAATGGAGAAAAGGAATAAATTTGTTTTCATTATTACTTTATATAAATCTATAACAACAGATCTATATGAACATTCAAAACAAACAAACACACACACACACAGACACACAGGAGCACTGATGGTCTTCTTCAACAGAGGCACTGACAAAGGTTGATGCAAGTTTCTGCGACCCCAAGAACAACAATGAGTGTATAAACTTAGGATCCCAAGGAGGCGAGTGCGCCGCCAACTGCTGCCTTCCCATCCCTCCCGGTGCGAAGATTGTGGATTTCAAGCGGCCATCGCGGTCCACCCCCCTCCGCGTCCGCCCCGCCGCCCACTTGGTCGACCCCGAGTACCTGGCCAAGTACAAGAAGGCCATCGAGCTCATGAAGGCGCTCCCGGCCGACGACCCTCGCAACTTCATGCAGCAGTCCAACGTCCACTGCGTTCACTGCGACAGCATCCCCGACAATGACATCCAAGTCCACCAGAACTGGTTCTTCTACCCCTGGCACCGCTGGTACCTCTACTTCAACGAGAGGATCCTCGGCAAGCTCATCGGCGACGACAACTTCACGCTCCCTTTCTGGAACTGGGACTCGCTCGGCGGAATGATGCTGCCGTCGATCTACGCCGACCCTTCGTCGCCCCTCTACGACAACCTTCGCGACGCCAAGCACCAACCTCCTTTCCTTGTCGACTTCGACTTCAATGGAACCGACCCAGGCTTCACCGACGCCCAGCAAATCGATCACAACCTCAAGATCATGTACCGCCAATTCTTCTCCAACGGCAAGAAGCCGATGCTGTTCTTAGGCTCACCTTACCGCGGGGGCGACAAGCCTAACCCCGGCGGGGGCTCCGTCGAGAACACGCCGCACAACAACGTGCACACGTGGACCGGCGACCGTACTCGTCCCAACTTCGAGGACATGGGCACCTTCTACTCGGCGGGGCGCGACCCCATCTTCTTCGCCCACCACGCCAACATCGATCGCATGTGGTCCCTGTGGAAGAAGCTCAGCCGTAAGCACCGGGACTTCAATGACTCGGACTGGCTGAAAACTTCCTTCCTCTTCTACGACGAGAACGCCGACTTAGTTCGGGTCACGGTCAAGGACTGCTTCAAGACCCGGTGGCTGCGCTACAAGTACCAAGACGTGGAGATCCCATGGGTGAAAGCCCGACCGACTCCCAAGCTCACCAAGGCGAGGAAAGCCGCCAGCGGATCGCTGAAACCCACCGCGGAGGCGCAGTTCCCTGTGACGCTGGAATCCCCGGTCAGCGCGACGCTGAAGAGGCCCAAGGTGGGGAGGAGCCGCAAGGAGAAGGAAGAGGAGGAGGAAGTGCTCATAGTGGAGGGGATCGAGTTCGACCGCGACCAGTTCATCAAGTTCGACGTCATCGTGAACGCGACGGAGGGCGATGGCATCACGCCCGCGGACAGCGAGTTCGCCGGCAGCTTCGTGAACACCCCGCACAGGCACAGGCACCTCAAGGAGGAGAACAAGGGGACGACGAGGCTGTGTCTGGGGATCACCGACCTGCTCGAGGACATCGGCGGGGAGGCCGACGACGGCGTGCTCGTCACCATCGTACCCAAGGCAGGCAAGGGCAAGGTTTCCGTCGGCGGTCTTCGGATTGACTTCACCAAGTGAGGCAACAAAAGCGTTCACATACCGTGCTTGCTTTCTGTATCCGATTAAAATAACAGTGCAGCACCGATCATAGTTCAACTTTAAACTTCGTGTTGTGCGTTTGATGTCAGTGGTCTCTCATTGTTGTCGTCAACAGTTACTATGGACATGCATTTGCAGTAACTGTCTTTCGATATCATCAGTAGACTGCTTGTTCTGCAGTTTCATTAATCAACCGTATGTTTCGCCAAGTGATTGGTCGCATTTCCATTAAACATTTTTGTAGCTATCAAGAAATATCGTAAAGAAAAAGAAAAAGGAGAAATATACCCGTGGTCAAAGTCAAAATCTTGGTGCCCAATCTTCGAATACACAGCAAAAAGGCTCCTATCGTGCGCCAACTCTGACGTCGGGCCCACATCGCGACCTTCATCGGTAGTAAGACCGAATCTTAAAGCGGGGACTCTCTGATCCAACGGCTAGTCGACATCCGTTGGAGCTCGCGACGGCAAGCGCACCGTTGTCTCCGCGGCCGAAACAAGCGACGAAAGGTTCCCGCAGTTTCTGGTTTTTAGATAATGGAACCCCTTATTCTTACCCGTACGTGATTGAAGAATCACCACAAGACTTTTTTGGGCCCCGCAGGTCAGTGACCTAGCACATTTCGTTTGGGTAGAACAATGGAGCTGAATACTAATAACGACATATAAATAAATATATATATATATATATATGTATATATAAACCAGTCGTCTTCAGACGAGAAGGCGTCGCTCTCGTTCTCAATCCTCTGCAACGGCACCCCCCCCGCTCTCTTTCCTCTTCGCCTCCGATCTCTCGGGCTTCCTAGCGTCCGATCTCGTCGATCATGTCTTCGGTAAGCGATCCTATCCTCCTACGGAGTTCCTGTGCGACTTGTGATCCCTTTTCGGTCGAGTTAGCCCACGGGTTGCATTCTTCTTGCAATCGATAGGTGCTATAGTGTTCGTTTTTCTTCTTTCTTCGACATCGATGAATCGGATGTTGATTATGCAAACAAGTGTGATACTTTCCTCGGAGTTTCCTAATCGAGGGAAATTTGGGAAATGAGTGGTTTGTTTAGGTCCGCCTACTGGTTCCTGCCCCGTTTGGGGATGAGCAGAATGTTGCGGGAGAATGACTGTGGTGTATCGATTTGATAGGTTATGGAACTTGATTGTTCTTACATATATGTAGAAATTGACGATTTTAGGTTTATTTCTGTAAAACCCAGTTTTTTTATGATGTGTCGTCTTTCATTGTCTTTTGTGCTTTTTGTTTAATTAGTATTTCTGATGCATTTTCATGTTCTAAGTGCATGACGTCAAGTAATTCGGGTCATAGGCTTTATGATAGGAGTTTGAAATCCAGACATGCATTACCTGTTTGTGTAAGATAATTTTCTGTTAACCCAAGACTTCAATTTGGAGTGTCTGAAGAGATTGTTTGACCTAGAGTGCTTATACAGATCATATTAACTTGAAAATATTTACAGGTTTTAGAAATGTCTGTTGATACTTGATTTAGTTACAGCTGGACAAGCAGCTACCTAGAATTAGGTATATCATTCTTCTCACTTTTTTCAGCTTAGCGCCTACTGTCAAGCTTCACACTGAATGTAAGAGGATGACACTGTCCTTTCTTCTCCAAGCGGGAATTAAATAAATTTGGCATGATGTTTCTTATCAAACATGTCTCTTATTTTTGGGAAATTCTTAGGGACATTTGGCCTTAATTTGTTTAAGCGTATTAAAAATGAAACAATGAAGTATTAACATAATAAGCTGCAGAAGATACTGGAATTGGTTCGGTTAGGTTTTTTTACTACATCCACTGGAAGAACAATGAGTTTCTTTATTATTGAAGCAATGGTGAAATTGTTTGATAGCTAAAGATAAACATAACTTTTTACTTCTATTTTGTGATCCACATGCAAATTACAACAACCATAAAAACAGCAATCCGTCTTATAAATTCTAGTACCACCAGTCTTTAAAAACTCATTAACCATAAGGACCAATATAGGAGCTTCACTAAAACTTGACCAACATAAGGGATCTGCAAAATATTTGCATCAATTTGATCCTCTTCCTCTCTCTCTTTCTTCCACCCCCACCTCCTTCCTCCCTTCCTCTTTCTTTGTTTGCTCCTCCATTCCACTTTATTCCTCCTGGACTTATAGTGAAGATCAGTTACTAGAAAGTCCAACATTTCTTATTCCTAGCTGCAATTGGCTGCCATATTACATTGTTCTCTGCGTTTCTTTAAACCTTATATAATTGTTAAGACAGCTAAAACCTAATAATCTCTTCTTATGCAACATGCTCTTCTCATGAGCATCTACCGATTTAGCTTCTTGTTGCAGACACAAACTTTACTAATCACTCTGCATATTCTTTGGACTAACCATGTATGTGTACTTTGCTTTGATATAATTCATCTTGTCTCAACTCTTATTGACAACACAAATAATCCTGCTTTCTTTTCACATTTAACATAATAGGATCTCTTCAATAATTAGTCTTGGGTTCATTTGAGGCTCCTAGGAGTGTCTTCTACTCTGTCATTTGAGGCTCCTGGGAGTGTTTTCTATTCTAAGTTCGGTGGGTTGAAGAGAATCATGGATTAATATAAGAGGATACTCTCTTTTGGTTGTAATGCTAACTGAGGATAATTAGATTAGTTTTAAGCCAAATCAGTAGGTCCATTTTTTTTGCAAATTCTGTAAAAATTAACTCTATCTCAAATTTAGCCATGAATTTTTTGGTTAGGTTATTATGGTATCCTTTGCTCTTCATAACTATAACTATAAATTCTCTACATGTATTTTTCCACACTGTAGCAAAGATGATTTTGAAGCCCCATTGATAATACTAGCTTTACCTGTATCTGGTAAGCTCCTTGTTCATCTCCAACTTCACCATTTGTTATATGCATAGTACATACAATTGCCCGATGAGTTGCCAGATAAAACATAATTCTGGGAGAAATAAATAAATCAATCAATGCCTGATCTTACAGATTTCATCTCACATGTCGATTTGTTAGGTTTTTTTATAGTTTATGTGTGTTGCCTTCGCAATCTTCTACGATGTTGTATTTTCATGTCAGACAAATTATGTGTTTGAATGAAGTGTTTCTTTTCAAAGTTTTACTTTGTTATACTTGTGAGAAGGATTATTGTGCTTTCAAGTCCTTGAGTGAACCTTCACTTTTCGAACTCTTGCTTATGGGAGTACTCAAGTGAATTAAAATTTATTTAAGGAGATAATTATACATTTATGAACCATTAAGAATAGTTCTAATGAGGATAAAACTGAGAGAAGACCTATAGATGCATTGGTTTGGAGAAGTAAAGGAAGATCTTAAAAGTAATTTTCAGAAAGAATAGATATGATGGTCCTTAGTTTGACTGGTTAACCAATGACTACAGGTTCTTCACTGTCATTTAAAATTAACTAGCAATTGCTTGCTTGATTATTTCTGCTACTTCAAGCTTCTTCCTCACCTATTTATAGTTTCGGTTTTCGTTCAGTCTTTTATCTTTTGAGTGCATCAGGAGAAGGGTCAACCACTGCCCAAGTTTGGAGAGTGGGATGTCAACAATCCTGCCTCAGCTGAGGGGTTCACTGTTATATTCAACAAAGCTCGAGATGAAAAGAAGACAGGTGCCAACTCCGGGGCAACAGCAACACCACCAAGAAATGATGCAGGTGGTTTCCAACAAGATGATACCTATCAGCATCCAAGAAAAAGTGTATGATCCTAACTTATGCTTTTCTGTTCCTTAATCATTGCTGAAATTTGGATCTAATGATTAGGAAAGAAAAAGATTGAAAACCCCATCTTTGGGATTTGATTATGCAGTCGTAAGAGATCCCCTGCACTCCTATCCATGATGATATTGATTTCAAAGTCAAACTAGTTTGAAACCGTCTTTTGCTGCTTTCTGTCGTCACAAGCACAGTGCTCCAACTAACCATGATATTTTGATTTGGTTCAGCGGAAGTGGTTTTGCTGCGGTTGAATGCCTGCTGTTTGGAGCCAATAGGTACTTGTTCATCTTAGTTTGGGGTTGCAAGCATAAAGAATGTTTGTTTTATTGGAACAGATGCTGTTTATGAATAATTATCATATCTGGTTCGTGTGAATCGGTATTATTTGTAGACAAAAAAAGAGGGCAGATCGATGGAAGATGGTTTATATCTTGTTCAATTTTGCTGTATGATTGCCGAGTGTAATTAGAAGATAGTTATCTGTAGATTTGCAAACAAACACACGCATTCCTTGCATAGTTCTATAGAATTGTGTGCTCCAACACCAGCCAGCCTTAATAGTCTTCGTCCATGATCTTCTTCCTCCTTTACGGCCATTGTATCTCATGTTTTATCATATTATTCCATTCAAAATTCATTATACTTGGTCTTAATGTAGATGAATGAATGACTTCCATTCTATCGGGAAATATGCTGAGAGAGAGAGAGAGAGAGTAAAGCCAAGTGATGTCTGGAGCTCAAGTTTTGAGCCTCCCGCAAGCAAATGCTGCAGCTGGGAAGATCCACTGAGCCCTGGACGCTCATGCCATAAAGAGGAAATCCATCTGCGGTGCACCGAGCATCTGACTCTCTGGCTGGGCTTCTCGTCGTCGAAGGTACACGCAAGGACGAGAAAGTGCCTGTCTTTATCTTACTTCTGTAGCAGGATTCTGTCCTGCTTAAACTTCTAGTAGAGCAGCATTTGGCACCAAAACAAGTGTTTGGTGTTTGTACTCATGCTGGAAGCTGCTGTAAGTTCCAAAGTTAACACCAAGTCACATAACTTTGGTAGATATCTAAGAAAAAAGGCATAAATAACTGAGAATTCAACATGAACTCTGTGAACAAAATTTTAACTTAAACAGTAACCCTGGAAGAGGAAGAAGAAGTGATCTCTTGTGCTAAACATATCTATGTTTCTGATAAGTGAGAGATCTAACTAGGAATTATCATTTTCTGATAAGTGAGAGATCTAACTTGTGCTATATATATATATATATATATATATATATATATATATATATATATATATATAAAATCCTCATTTTCTGTAGGATTTCTTTTTAAATATTTCAATGTTTCCATTAATTATATTTTTGTTTGATTTTTTATATGATCCGCCACCTCCTTTCATGTGCAGTGCTGTGATTAGTCATTTAACAATGTTTGATTTTTTTGTTTTGTGAATATATATTAATAATATATTATTATAATGATGGACGTGTGTCATGTTTGAGTTTGCTCGACGACGAAGTTATACCCGTTTCCTGGGTCCCGCATATGTTGCTTTCAGCGGCGGTAGGGTCCACATTGGTTGGTAAAGGTTGTGTTGATGGTGTGACTCCGCCGGTCTGATTCGAGTCTTCACGTTTCGCTCGTGCCGTGATCTTTAATCGGTACACTGAGCCGCTAGAGCAAGGTAATAGGAGGCATCTCCAGAGTTATTAGCCGTTCGATCGATGGTCGTGATTACGGATTCGTCGGCAAAGATAGCGGAGACGATCATGACTCGGTTCCTCGCGGAGGCACCGGACCTGTCTCTAAACGGATCGTGCTCCCCTTATGGGTTATTTGCGGGTCCGTGGATCTCTTGCTTTTGACCCAGATTAGGATCCGATTCATTGCATTGAAGGCTTAAAACACTCGAAGGGGAAGTCGTCGACAACCTCGCTTCTCTTTTGCTTCCCGTTTTCGTCGTTCTATTCATTCTGCGATTTCTTCGAGGGAGAGACGAGAAGACGAGGGACAGGAGGGGAGAAACTCTTCGATGGCGTTCTCCACTCTCCTCAGATCCGCGGCTCCGGCTCTCGGTGGATCTCGCGATCGCTTCCCCTCCGATTCCGGAGCTCCGATTCCGCCATCCTTCAAGGTTCGATCCTGGGCTCCTCCCCTCGTGTCTACCGTCGTGTCTTCTCTCTTGCTTTGGTTGATGAGCTTAGCCCCCAACTCGATCTGACGTTGTTTGGGTATTGTGTGCTGATATTTAGACAAAAATGGCCTCTTTTTTTACTCTTTTCTGGTACAGAAATTGCAAGTTACCATTTTCTCATTATACAAATGATTTGTTGACAGACTTGATCTCTTTAGTTTAGTTGTATTACAATGTTCAATTCTTGAGCCATAATTTTTTTCTGTTGATCTTGTTCGAGCTCAGATATCTTGCATTCGGAGTCCTCGATCAGCTGGGAATCGTTCAAGCATTTTCGGCTCTTCATTCCCCTCCGTGGAAGCCTACTCGTCGCAGTAGGTTCTAACGTCTAGTTCTATTGCTTCTACTGGTAGTTATACTGCTGTTATCTTCTTTTTAGGAGCAGGCTAACGAGGACTTTCTAATGTTCTCAGGAGATCTGGTGCAAGAAACAATCAGCCTATCAAGGCCACAGCAACCGAGGCTCCTCCTTTTGTGAAAAGTAAGCTGCTTTGGTAGTTTTGACTTATACGTTCACTGTCGTGATAATGATTTCTTCATTGTGCTCTATTTATAGGTTCTCCAAGTGGTGGCAGGACGAAAGTTGGAATTAATGGTAAATTCAGTTGTAGCCTGTAGCTTTAATCTGTATTTAACACAGTCATGCTATCCATGTCATCATCATGTTTCGCTATATAGTTATATGTCTCAATTTAGCTGCTAAAATTTGTGGACATAAACTTTGGTAGGACTAATGGTTCTTAATGTTCTGTTCTTCGACTCCATTCAGATTTGGATTTTAACAGAATTATTCTATTATATATAGATGTATATATACAGCATAACTCACCTTCATTATCAAATATTAACATTAAAATTAGTAAGCCAAATTTCTTTGTACATCCTACACATGATAACTTCTGATATTTCAACTACCAAGAATATAAAAAAGAAGCACATGTGGTCTCATTGCTTACAAAGATGTGCTCCGTTCGCTTAACCTTTGACCTTCTGTGGACTTAAATGTGATTGCTTAATCTTCCATGCTTAGATCTGTCATGACCCGAGCCTGATGGGTTAATTGGCCTATCAACTTTGTTTGGTCTAAACCACTGACCAAAATGTTTAAATTGAAGTTGATAGTAGTACACTTATCAGACTCTTATAAGCCAATCTTAATCTTGTCCACTTCCGATGTGAGACTAATTGGGGGTGTTACAAGATCAGTATTGATTGAGACAGCCCACTAGGAATGAGTACGGAGACCAATTTAACTATCTTCCATATTCTTATAGACATCTATAGCTTTATGGAAAAGGTTTGTCTCAGGCATTGAACCTGATCTGCATTTTGCAGGTATTCTCATCATCTCGTGCACCAATTCATGTTGTTCCCTGTTGTAGTATTCATTGTTCACTGTGTATTTTGAAGCATCAGTTACTTTTATAATCAACTTGCGAGGTCAACTTTTTATATTCATGGGAAGTATGGGGTGGCTATGTTGTCATTCTCCTAGAAAAATTGTGAATTTTTTTCAAATGAGAATTTTAAGTGCTTAGCTAATTGAGTGATAGGTAAAAAATCTTAGATAAAAGCCTTGTTATATTATATGAAATGTACATTTTCCTATAGTCAAAAGAGTTTAATTGGCTTTACCATAGATGTTCTAGTGGTGTCAGTGCATTCAAGAGCTTTTATGTGAATAAGTGAGAGCCAGGAGCTAACAAATGCGAAATGCCAAAGCAACATGTTCTGTGCCTAATTGTGTTTGTGTATTAACTTCTAGAATATTTGTTTGATCAGATATATATCTTAATAATGAATTGGCGTTCTATAATGGAATAATTTAAAGAAGTAAAAACAATATTTGATATATTCAGAATATTTAGTTTCATATTCTATAATCATGAAGGCTTTCTTTTGTCTTAAATATTGAAAATTTTTGCTGTTACTTTTTTGCATAGTTCTGGTAAGTTTGAGTTGTATTTTCATACAGGTTTTGGGCGTATTGGAAGACTTGTCTTGCGCATTGCCACCACAAGAGATGATATCGAAGTAGTAGCAGTAAATGACCCCTTCATTGATGCTAAGTACATGGTGAGGAAGCTTGTTCTTATTTTGGTCATTTTGTTGGTTCTGTGGGGTTGTATTGGTACTAAAAGCAGTGAATTGTGTATATTGCATTTGAGATAGAAAATTAGTGGGCTAAGCATCTTTGAAGTAATGGCCACTATGCTTGAGTTGTTATGCAATCTATTTTTAAGTTTCCTTCATAGTTTTAGCTCTTTGGTCTGTAATTTGTATCTCGATTTGTTGTTTGTTTTATGCTTTTTTTTACTTAGTTTCTGGTTGGTAAAGCTATATGGTATATTGACCATATTATTGCTGAAAACACTTGACATATATATATTATTTGGTGATCTGTGAATCTTCCTATTAGATAAGATTTCTAGTAAAAGCCATTTCTAGAGGATCACACTTCTAGAGGGATAAATAAAACATCAGACACACTATCAGTAGCCTTTACCATCTTGCTGAAAATTTGGGACCCGAGAGGATAGTGAAATAATTGCTTGGTTAGATTAATAAGATATATCCCATCAATCAGCATTCTGACCAAAGTTGAATTCACAAATTGTTTAGTACTTTTAGCTTGTGAATTTTACATTTTTGTCTCCCAGCACAATCAAACTTTGTAATGGTATCACCGGAACAGAAAATTTTGATGGGTCCACTCAAATGGGCATAATTTGTATGTGTTATAATTGAACGGATTCCAGAAAGAGTTAAATGGGTTTTGCTGAATTCAATTAGGTAAGCACTGATTTAAATGCTTGATAATTCTCAAGCATTTAAGTCAGTGGTGGACTGGTGGTACTGCACGTATCGCTGAGATACTAAATCAGCCTTCATCATTTGTTAGCTGTAACATGTTTCTTAATTTATATGGATTGGGCAATATGTATGAGTTATTAAAATAATAGTAACGTTTTTTTTCAGGCATATATGTTAAAGTACGACTCAACACATGGCATATTCAAGGGAACGATTAAGGTTGTGGATGGGTCCACCTTAGAAATCAATGGGAAAAGGATTGCAGTTACAAGCAAAAGGTATTTCACATATGTTTTCAAGATTGGTCTGATGTAACTTCTGGTTCCTTCTTGTGTATAATTTTTAAATTTATTTTCCTTGTTCCTTTTTCCTCCTATCAAGGGGTTCTAGGAGCCAAGTATTCATATACAAAAATAGGCTCCGTTAAGAAACTTAATGTGTCAGTGGAAGAAAGCAACCCAGTATCTTGTAGCATTACTGACACAAGTTGGACACACGCGTTGTGGTTAACTGAAACATGAATAACATATAAATTTGACAAGATAATAAACAATAGGAAGGTAATGACATATAGGAGACTAGAAAGGTGCCAAGGAAGATATATTTAGGTAGAAGCATGAAAACATTCAAAAATTAAGAGAGGAAAAAAAAGGTCCTTTCTTCAATGAAATATTAAACTAAAAAAGTTTTATGTACATTAGTCCAACAGTCTTCTAATATTTTGACTTCATAGACTGACTTTGTAGTTAAATTTGGATTCTTAAAGCAGTTGAATTTCATAATCGAAGACTTTTATTTCTTTAATACCTAAGTTTACAAAGTCTCAATTTCTCATAGAACTCTCCAATCTTATATCCTACTTAATAAATAACTTTCTTGATATAGAATATTTTGAAATAAGACTCATAAGTATCAATACAACTTAAACTAGGATTCAAATATATTATAAGTAAATATTCAAGAAACAGAAAGCCCGATTTGGTCTTAGTTTTGACTGGACTTGTATATAACTAGGATCTAACTTAAACCTAATTGACTACTGATTGCATTAGTTACTCCACAAGGTAATAAACTCCTTTTAGAAATTTTATTCAACATAAATGGCAATCATTTATCATGTTCTTCATTTCCTTTCATTCTAGGACTCTGAAGTAGTTGTAGAAGATTTTGATGTCTTAATTATTATCAGCTCATGGATATAAGAGAGATTATGTGGACAGTTGATAGCTTATGAGTCATTGATAGGAACTACATGAATATTTCCAGATCAAAATAAACTGAATATTCTTCTTCCCAGAGATCCTGCTGTCATTCCTTGGGGTGATTTTGGTGCTGAATTTGTTGTTGAATCTTCTGGTGTGTTTACAACAATGGATAAGGCATCAGCACATTTGAAGGTATGCAGATTCTATTTTGCATGCTAAACTTCTTTATATTATTTTTGGTGCTAAAATTTGTTTTTATAGTAACAAAAAGGGTCTAAAGGATGTTCCTCTCTCTGATTTCCCCACAGGGTGGTGCCAAAAAAGTAGTAATATCAGCTCCATCTGTGGATGCTCCAATGTTTGTTGTTGGAGTAAATGAGAAGAACTATAAGCCAAACATGAATGTTGTTTCTAATGCTAGCTGCACAACAAACTGTCTTGCTCCTCTTGCCAAGGTATGTTAAATCTAGATCATAGAGCCTCTCTTTTAAAAGATCCCTTTAATTTGCAATAATCTCTGATAATTATTATAAATTTATAATTATCAGGCATCTTGTAAGGCTTGATAAACTTGTATAATTGTATTTGGTGTTTTTAGGGATTTTTTTCTTTTCCTTTTTTGTCATTATATGCACATTTGTCATGCCTGTTTGGGACCTGAGTTTCTTGCAACATGAAGCATAACTTTGTAAAGTGTAGTGCTTAATAACAATTGTCGCATTTTATAGGTGGTACACGAGGAGTTTGGCATTGTTGAAGGCCTTATGACAACTGTTCATGCAACCACAGGTGTCTTTGTCTTGCACTCATAGACAGATCAGAGCTGCCAGAATGTGCTTTGCAACCTTTAGGGCCTTCTTTTCTGACATCATGATGCTTATATATGGCTGTCCTTGCTCTTTCACAGCAACACAGAAGACTGTTGATGGTCCTTCAATGAAAGACTGGCGAGGGGGCCGTGGTGCTGGCCAAAACATCATCCCTAGCTCAACTGGTGCAGCAAAGGTGAAATTGAAAATTTGAAATGGTTTGTAATGCAACTATTACTTCAAATAACTTTCATCTTGTGTTTGCAGGCGGTTGGAAAAGTGCTTCCAGAGTTAAATGGGAAGTTGACCGGTATGGCTTTCAGAGTTCCTACGCCCAATGTTTCTGTCGTGGATTTAACTTGTCGACTTGAGAAAAGTGCCTCGTATGATGACGTGAAGGCATCAATTAAGTATGTAACCATGCTTGATTAAGATATTTTGCAGATCATCATCTTTGACTGCATTACTTGAATGCCTGATTATATTAAAATATTCTTTGTCATTTTGTCTGAATTAGCATTAATATGAGGCATTTTGGTTTTTTGTTAGTCATTTGATTTCATTTGGTTGGCTTTACTGACGCCACTAAAATTGATTTAGTTTTTGTCAGTACTGTTTTTCTTAATGGTATTACAGTATTTTTCAATAATATCAATCCCATACTTTGTCTTTGGCTCCATTTAATAAATTTATTTTTCGATCACAGCTTATAGAATGCAAGCTGGGCACCTAAGTTTCGTAGTCATACGTTTTTCTTTAATGTATATCAGTGTTTTTATGTTAAATGCTTAAGCTTGAAAGACCACTATGGAGACATGGGACTCTATTTGTGCCCTTATTTACTGATTTTTTTTCTTTGGCTATTGGAGACATCGACATTTGATTTAACTTTCTTTTCAAGGTGGCAGGTGTTTTTGATATTAATTGTAAACGTATACCTAAGTTAGTACTCCTGTCTTAAGGAAAGTTGCACCTGTGTCAGAGATACAGATGTATGCATATGGGATCTTAATGGAATTAAAATGTTTTACTGGCAGTTGATGAAAAATGGCATGCACATATACAATTTAGTGGAAAAGGAGCCCTTTTTAAGAAGTAATTAACAAACTATGAGACTTTAACCATTGTCATTATAAAAAGATATGCATGAAATTTTAGGAGTTAATACAGTAGTAATTTATGTCAGTTTGTATCCCGGTGGACTTTGTCGAAACTCTCATATTGAGCATGCATTCATATGGGATGTAAGTTGCTTTCTATTTTTTTTTATTCATCTGTTTACCTGCAAGCATTGTTTTCTTTCTTCCATTTCCACACCCCACCCTCCCACCACCAACCCCCTCCCCCAAATTTGTCTCATGAGATGTGCATGTAATTTTTTGAGAATCTTTCAGGTATGCATCAGAAGGTCCACTGAAAGGCATACTTGGATACACCGATGAGGATGTTGTTTCTAATGACTTTGTTGGTGACTCAAGGTAAAACTTGGTTCAACTCTTCTATACTACTTGGACTTGTTGCATAGGTTCTAAACTACACCCATTCTATTTTTCCAGGTCAAGTATCTTTGATGCTAAGGCTGGCATTGGACTAAGTGCATCGTTTATGAAACTTGTGACATGGTACGACAACGAGTGGGGCTACAGGTTAGGACATTGCTAACTATTTGTTTATGATCTTCCATCTTTGCAACGTCAACCTAAACCTTAACACTATTTTTTTCAGCAACCGAGTGCTAGACCTGATTGAGCATATGGTGCTGGTGAACGCAAAACATTGAGATATGATTTGGCTTGCTCAAATGGACTATATCTAAGCTACAATTTTGATGAGGGGCTTTAGTTGTTTTTTGTTTCCACATTATGAAATAAAATGTTATTCTAGATTCGATCAACATTTTTACGATTTAGTTTGAGTTTGAAGGACATCTATCATGATTGTAATGCAACAGACTATTCTTCCTCTTGGTAGTAATGCAACATTTATACAACAGACTACTGTAATGCAAAGATAAAAGAAGCAATCTCGTGTGCACTCCTGCTGATACTGCTCAGCCTGGTATCTTCTCTCCATGTCGTGTTGTCCTCTTTCCTTTTGCTTCACCATAGTCTCTTTGTCATTTCTTATACCTGATTCAATTGCTGTTGCAGGGTTGCCAGCAGCCGCTGTCTCTGCCAGAAACCTTGCTCCGGTGATGGAGTCTCCCAAGTGTTGGTTGAGGTACTCTCGCTTGTGGCAACTCCATGTTGGTGTTTAGGTTGAGGGGAAGAGTTGGTGTTTGATTTGGGAGTTTCTCTTTCCAAAAACATGCTTGAAATGGATGATTTCGTAATCTTTATATCTCTAAAGGTTGCAATTGCTGGCTATGATCTAAATCGTACGTCTAGAACACTTGGTGCAGTGTCTCAGAAACCTCCCATGCCAAGATAGGGCTCCCATTTGAGGATTCGATGAGACAAGGATGATTCTAATGCTCAAATTAGATGGAGAATCTATTTGTAGGATTTCCTTTTACAGACGAGAGTAGATAGTTGTTGATTTGGATTCTTTGGAAAGGACAATGATGGTTATAGGACAAAAAGGTATTCAAAGTATTTCTTGTGTGGTATCTCACAAAAAGATATATCCAAAATATTAAAGAAAAATCTGAATCACATGACAGGATCCTCCTCTTCCTCTTCCCAATACTGAGAGAGTTCTTGAACTTGCTCAGAAATTAGGGTTCCTCATCCTGTCTAAAGTTTAGTATCAGAAAAGGAATACATTTCTTTTCATTTTTACTTTCAGCAAATTTATATGTTTTATTCAAGTTGACAACACAACAGAGGTATCACAAAACCATGAACATTCCAAACATGCATCCATGTATAGATTTTCTCTGATCCTTCTCCCCTGCCTTTCCATGGTCTTCTTCATCGGAGGCACGAACAAAGGTTGATGCAGGTTTTTGCTTCCCCAAGAGGAGGAAGATATGACACATTTGCGTTCAGAAGGTCTGCAACATCGAGTGTGAAGACTTAGAATTCATATGATCCTCGATTTTTCTCGCAACGCTGGCTCTTCATAATGTAAGGAAATCTTAGATTAAGTATACTTCTTTCATGTGGATGTCATAGCAATGTTTCAATAATCGATCAAGATTAAGAATCTTATTGCTAAGAATATTATTCTTCGTATCCAACACAAAATCCTTCGTAATTTCTATTTTTGAAGTGAATTAATAAGATATTTGGCTTTTGAGAAATTTTTCAGCGTAGATTTGTTTTTACTGATTCGTGTTTTCAAATAAAAGAAAAGATACTTTAGTTTATTTTTCAGACAAAATTGGATATGTGAGAAGACATTAAATTACTATTCTCCAAAATCCCAACTTGGAAGGTATTAAAGCATAATTTGGTTCTTTGATCTCTTAAATTATAATGGGATTCAAATGATTCGATTAAGTGCCAAATATAAAGTGTAATTCAATAGAGAGAGGAGAGTCCCCTTGAAAACATATTTGGAGGTCTTTTATAGCATGATATTTGACCATTACGTTGAGATCATGATTAATGTTTAGAATGATTATATTATGTTGAGATTATGTACTAATTTTCGTAGGACTAAGATAATTGCCACACACTTGAATGGTGATGATGCATCGCCCCATATGATGTCTAAGATGTCGGTCATGTGGTGATGAGATATCGACCACATGGTCATGAGTTATCGATAACGTGGTGGTGAGATGTCGACTACATGATTATGATGTGTCAATCACATGATGGTAAAGTGTAGGTCATGTAGTTGTGATGTGTCAACCACATGGTTATGAGGTGTCCAACACGTGGTGTTGGGTGTCAATCATGTAGTGCTAAGATATATGTGATATGATGTTGAGGTGTCGACTATCATTCTTATGTCATTATTCCTATATTATGTCTCGATAAATGCAGTAGTTTCAGGGCATGATATGACTTCTATTTAACTATTGACCCTAAAAAAATGGTTTAATAATCTTATCATCAAAAGGAGCACTTTAGGTTGTATCGATCGAACTATCATTATAGGAAGACCTTTGGGTCATTTTGATCATGCTATTATAAAAGATAACAATTTGGGCCATTTCAATTGTTTTATCATCGAAGGGAGCACTTTGAGTTATTTTAGTTATATTATCATCAAATGGAGCACTTCAGGTCGTTTCAATCATATTGTTGTCAAATGAAGCGCTTCAAACCATTTTGACTATGCTATTATTAATATTTTGGGTTTTTTTTGCTGCATTGTTATCAAAGTGAGCCCTTTATATTATTTCATTTATAGTGTCATCAAATGGAGCACTACAAGTCATTTCAACTATGTTGTTGAAGGGAGTGCGTTAAGCCGTTTTGGTTGCACTATCGTCAAAGTGAGTACTTTGGGTCATCTCAATCGTGCTATCATCTATCGAAACACTTTAGACTTATTTAATCACACTATTGTCAAGAAACACTTTTGAGCCAATTTAGCCTATGTTGTTATTGAGAGAAGCTTCATGGTCAATTTGGCCTGCACCACTATTAGGAGATATTTTTTAACTGAGAAGGTCGCATCATCATCAAGGGATATTTTATGACTCAATTCAATCACATTATTATAGAAGAATGCTTTTTGGTCAAGTTTGGATGTGTTGTTGTTAAGGGATGATTTATGACTAAGTTTGGTCATGTTATTATTTGGAGTTGCCTCTACAAGTGGTTTAATCGTGTTGATATTAGGAGCCATCTCTTTGGATAGTTCAACTATGTTGGGATAGGTTGGGATAGGGAACCACCTCTTTGGAGGATCAACTATTATGATGTGGGGAGCCACCTCTTTAAGTGGTTCGATCATGTTGATGTCAGGAGCCACCTCTTCGAGCAGTTCAATTATGTTGTTGCTAAGAGCCACTTTTTTGATTGTTTGATATTAGTGTCATAAGTCATCTCTTCGAGCAATTAAACTATGTTGGGATAGGGAATCACCTTTTCATATGGTCAACTATTATGGTGTGGGCAGTCACCTCTTTGGATGGTTCAGCCATATTAGTATCTGAAATCACCTCTTTGATGATTAAACTATTATAGTATAGGAAGCTATCTCGTTGAGGGGTTTGGTCATGTTGGTGTTAGGAATAACCTTTTCGAGGGTTCACATGTTTCTCAATTATGTCAAACTATAAAGGGTGATATAATGCAATTACAAGGGTAGCTCTGCACTCAGATAGTTTGTGATATTCTTTCGTTGAACACTCTTAATGTCATTCCTACTAATGTAGAACTTGATCATTCAATAAATAAAGGGATTTCAAGTCAATCTATGTTCAATTCCAAATATGTCATGAACTTGATGTCAAGAGATGAATGGATTGGATAAAAGATGTTGTAAAAAAGAATTATTATATTGGAGATATACCCAATAAAACCATCCAATGCTCAAGGTATTAAGGAATAATTTACTAAAAATAAGCCCCATTAAGAACTTCATGGGGGTTTTATAGTATAATATTTGAACATTGGATTAATGTCATTGTTAATAATCGGAATGGTTATGTGATATGCGATTGTGTGTAGTATCGAATCTGAGCAGGAAAGATAGAGATGTTGCTTGCATGTGATAACGATGCCACAGCTGCGTAGAGTAGAGAACAACATGCAGTGGCTCTCACCCATGGCGTGCATGCTGCATGTAGGCGACTCTGATGCCGAAATTGATGTCGAAGGATATACAGGTGTCATTGTGGAGCGCCACGTGTTAATCTGTGCCCGTGTGGATAGTCACGTGCAGGGATATACAATATCAACTCCATAAATATTAGGGTTCAGCTTAAAAGCTCGATGCGATCAAGTTACTCACTTATCATTTTTATTTATTCAATATTATTAATTTTTATATTTTATATTTTTTTCAATAGTCCTATATTATTAGTTAACTAGTTTTGATAGCTTAGAACTAGTATAAATAAAGGTCTCCTCTAAGTTTATGAAATAATATATATATATATATATATATATATATATATATATATATATATATATATATATATATATATATATATATATATATAAGTATTGCGAAGGTTTTTTCACTATAAGGAGTTATCTTTTCCTCATCAGGTTAGTTGTTATTTTTGTTTTCGTCCTACGTTAGTTGGTATCATAGCTTTGCTCTTGATATTTACATAAAAGGTTTGTGATTAGAAAATTAAGGAGTATACTCTATACTCGCCAGGATTTTGTGTATCAAAAACTTAATTTGTTAAGTATAGTCCTATGACCCATCAAGATAAGGTCTAGTGGTAATAATGGCAACAACGGCAATGACATTATCGATGATGGCAGTGGCAAGTTTGATGGTGACAACCTCCATGATGGAGGCAATGACAACAACCCTAATAGTAACGATCAGAGAGTGCCAGCCTTATGGGCAGCGTTCAAAGCATAAGAATTGAGGAAGACCTGGGAACTTCGACAGATTCATGACATGCTCACTAACTTGGGTTTGGGCACTAATAGAGTTCGTGATTATGGTAGGATCAATCATGCTAGAGTTGATGCTTAAGGCCAGCATATATAAGCCTATAATCCAACATATGCAATCAGCCTATGAAGATGTGTATCAAACAAAGAAGATAAAATTATGGACTATCACAGAACTAAACAAAGAAGAGGTGTAGGTGCAACTCAACCTCAACACTTTCACCCACATGGTACTATCCACCCACACCAACCAATAGTATATGATGATGACTTAAAAATGACAGTGAAAGGTACAGAAGACATCAAGCACCACCTAAACGAAATAGGTTATTCGAATATTATTGTCATAAAGCAGACATCCCCAATTTTAATGGCCACCTCAGTATTAAAACTTTTCTTAATTAGAGTTATGAAGTAGAGAACTTCTTCGAGGTGATGGATGCTCTTGATCACAAATAAGCCAAGTTTGTTGTATACAAGTTGAAAGGAGATGTAACAGCTTGGTGGGATACATTATAAAATGACAAAAGAAGATAAGGAAAAATACGAGTATAGACATGACGAAAGATGAAGCAACATTTCAAAAGAAGATTCCTACACCCAAACCATGAACAATTATTGTTCTAACAATACTAAAACTATATCTAAGGCACTCGATCTATAACTGAGTATACTGATAAATTCTTACACCTTTCAACTAGATGTAACTTATAAGAGTCAAAAGACTAGCAAATAATAAGGTACGTCAACGAACTGAAATTTATAATTAAAGATAGAATGCATTTAACTCTAATATGGATAGTAGATGAAGCATATAATATAGCATTAAAGGCTAAAATGTTGTTGACTCGACCTCCATGCCTAGCAATTCTCTATTCTGACAATAC